AAGAGGGGTGGTAGGTTTCCAACACAACAAGTATTTACATGAATAAAATAAGAATATGAGTAAAATTTCGAATTAATCCCTTTATTTAATGTACTAGGATAGACAGTTCTCCTTCCGCTATCCCACAGATCCCATCAAAACGAAAATAATAATCACCGTCCATATTCCTTTTTTTTCTTATCTGTGAATTGCCAAGTCGTCTTGGGAAAGATAGTGGAGTTGTTTCCCTTGACTTCTCCGCAAATTCCTTTTATTTATTATTTGTGAATTACCATGTCGCCTTGGAAAAGATAGTGGACTTGCTTCCCGATGATTTCTCCAAGATTCTTTTCTTTATTATCTGTGAATTGACATGTCTTCTTGAGAAAGATATTTGAATTGTTTCCCGTTGCCTTCTGCACAAATTCCTTTTCTTTATATCTGTAAATTGCCATGTCGTCATGGGAAAGATAGTGGAGTTGTTTCTTGTTGCCTTCTCCATAAATTCCTTTCCTTTATTATCTGTGAATTGCCATGCATTGTTAGGAACGTTAGTGGACTTGTTTCCCGTTTCTGTCTTCCCGGATTCTTTTCTTTATTATCCGTGAATTGCCCTATCGTCTTGGGAAAGATAGTAGAGTTGTGTCCCGTTGACTCCTCTACAGATTACTTAATTTTAATATTTGTGAATTGCCATGTATTGTTATCTACGGTATGCAATTCAGAGTTAATTTTTTCCTAGACTAGTTGCCACTACGACTACAGTACTGGGTGCTCTCATATTTAACCCATATTCAAAGTAAAAACATTCGTAGATGCATTGCCAAGGACATCAATACGAAATTAGATTTATCAGACATGCCTAGAATTTCAACCACCGTCAATAACCATTATCCAAGACATCTTTCTTCGCAACTTTTCTTTTCTTTTTATAATTTCACCCTGAGCATGGCGATAATGCTACTAAGGTGTTACTGGGAGTGAAAGAAAGATGAGAAGCTTTTGATAAAGAGAAGTGAGGAGAAAGGAAATTAACGAACAGGTTTCAGAATGACAGAAGATGGCGATTGGCGATGCATTTAAATCTTTGAAAATTTTAGGTGGAATGGGAAGCAAGAAATCAGATGGGAATTCCACAGAATTGCGAAAAAAGTAAAATGTGCATTAAGTTTATCGGGTTACTAATCGGCTTACTCCTTCGAAAAATCTAAGGAAAGAATGTGCCCCCCCCTTCCCTGTTTTCTTCATTAAGGTCTCTCGAATCTGTAGGCAGATGAACATTCTGAACACTTTTTACTAAATAAGAATGGGACGTCTATTTCAAATACGAATTGTCCCCTATAATAATGTTTGATGTAATAAAAATGTTGGATTAGAAATAAATCCATAAATTCTTTTATCTATCTATCTATCTATCTATCTATCTATCTATCTATCTATCTATCTAGATAGATAGATAGATAGATAGAATAAAAATACGTATGTTCTTAAGATTAATGCAATGTTGATTCTGATATCTTAGTCTGTCATATTAACGAAATATATATATATATATATATATATATATATATATATATATATATATATATATATATATTTAAAATGAACACACACTCGCACTAATCAACATGCCGACAACCAAAACATGGATAAAAATACATACTAAACGCACACAGAGAAAACCACACACACACACATACGAATGTACATCATAAGAATCCCGCACAGACAAACTAGAATTATGATAAACTGGTATATATGAATTATACACACGAACGCTGCTTGACAAGACAGGTGCATGTGAGGACTGCTTAACCAATGAAAAGCAAACACAGAAATTAAAAATACCAGAATGTTCTTTTTCTCCTCCCTATTTTATTCTTTAGTCAAACTTTAATAAAAGCTAAACATGTTTGATTTAGAAACGTTTAATATGAAATTCTTATTACACACACACACACACACACACACACACACACACACACACACACACACTATATATATATATATATATATATATATATATATATATATATATATATATATATATATGTTATGAAATGGATTAAGTCCGAAAATTGTATCTATTAAAATAACACCAGCTGTCTCCAGCCCTAAAGTGTCTGTCTGGAATTAAGTAAGAAAATTGTATCTATTAAAATAACCTACAGACAATATATATATATATATATATATATATAAACAAACCAAATACTTAAATTCCGGCATCCACTAAAAATAACGTTGAAAATATATATATATATATATATATATATATATATATATATATATATATAAACAGACCAAATACTTAAATTCCGGCATCCACTAAAAATAACGTTGAAATAATATATATATATATATATATATATATATATATATATATATATATATATATATATATATAGTGAGAGAGAGGGGAGAAAAGATAGAGTAATTGAAAGAGAAGTAAAAAAAAAAAAGAGATAGAGAGTGATATAAAGTGACAGAGAGAGAGAGAGAGAAAAATAGATGGAGTAATTGAAAAAGAGGGATTTAAAGGTGGAATAATTGAGAGAGATAAACGTAGGCGCTTGTCATAAAGCGACACTTTGTAAGTTATTTTTGCCGTACTTTGCTCTGTATGAATTGACGGTGCTTCTCACCGGGCGTGACTTTATGCAGAATCTGTTTGGAGTTACTGCCTCTTGCCTACAGATGCAAGTGGCCCCTATTCGAGGCTACCGAAAGGACAACGTGTGAAATGGTAATTATCTGGTCGACCTTTACCATGTTTTAGCTCGGTACATCTCGATTCTCCTTCTGTTCCCGTCTTTTTCTTTTTATTTGTCATGTCCTTTCAGGACGTAGGCGATCATGGCTCTCCACCTCCCTGTATCCCTTGCAGCTCTCAGCAAGTTCCTCTCCTCTGCTTCCTCTCACAGACCACGTTCTGTCATTCACCTGCTCAAGCTTGTCAGGTATGTCACGCGCTGCTTTCCTTTGTCTCTCTCTCTCTCTCTATTTGACCCGTGAGTACCAGATTCTCCAGGCCCTCCTTCCTCAATATGCGTCCCAGAAACTTCAGTTGCCGCTTCCTGATGTTAAGTATAAGCCTTCTCCTTGTTTGCAAGACCTCATGGTTACTCACGTGCTCGGTCCATGATATCCTTGGCATCCTTCTGTAGAACCACATCTCCGTCGCCTCGAGTCTCTTCTTCATCTTTGAGGAAATCGTTCATCATTCGCTGCCGTAAAGAAGGACAAATGTCACGTAACAGCTCAGTATTCTTTTCTACCAACGAAATCCTTCTGTCTCACAATACTCTGCTTTGGAATGTGTCCTTGGCCATCCCAATACGTCTACGGATCTCAGCGTCGCACTTACCGTCATCTGTCAAGACGCTTCCCAGATATTTAAACTTCTACATCTGCTTGAATCTAGTGTTCCCGACATGCAAATTGCATTTCGGGCTCTTCCCCTTACTGATGACAATGTATTCTGTCTTCTTGTAGTTTATGCTTAGTCCTTTCTTCCCACTCTCCGTCGCTATCTACTGTAGGAGAACCAGACAAAACAATGATCTAAGCAATCATTTGAACGTCTATTAAGAGCAATGACGAACGCCCGGTATCATTTCTCGTATCGCGAAATCTGTTCTTCCTGAGAGCCCTGACCTTATGTCCTTGTGCCTAGCTAAATGTTTCTATCAATTTATCACAAAAGAATATCAAATGTAAAATTGTCGTTGGTAGCGAAATATATTAATCTTATTTTAGATTAAATCTTGTCGGCATTTCGCGTCATCTTTCTTTTATATAAAAATAGCTATATCCTGTTTTAGAAATCTATTTTTATAAAACATATGTCAGATCGTAAAATTGATGGGTTAAAACTGGTAATTCATACATTTTACACAAGTCATCAAATTATATACAATGACAAGCAAAGATATTGGACACACATGTTTAAAAGAAAAAAATATTTTCAAGATGGTTCTCTCTAAACTTTACACTTCCTGGGCATGACGATAAACTAGGTCTGGTTTCATAACCTCTGATCCGGGGCTTTTGAGAAACCACTTCTTAATTGCTGCTGTTCCCAGCTTCACCGTAACCCAGGTAGATAGCACCTGTTAGGGTCCTAACTTTGGGCAAATAGTTAACCCCCACAAACTGGGTTCAAAATACCATGAAAGTATAAAAATAGATTTTTATAGTAAAAATTACCAGCAATACATTTTTGTGACAAAAAATTGCCAGCAATACATTTGGCTCTCGACTAAAACTCTCTTTATAAATGTACGTCAATGAAACCTGATCTACATACTGATTTCTTACAAAAATACATATTCTATTCTTGAAAACCTTCTCGGTGTTAAATAATCCATTGAGGTTGATATACTGTAAAACAAAATAAACCAAGCCAAAAGAAAGCTCTACAATAAATGCCTTCCTGCTTCTTGCTTTCCGGCCTGCTGAACATCCTCATCTGTTGTCCCAGTTATTATGAACTTAGGTGAACCGTCTGATCCTTCCAACTGTCGGCGTATTAGCCTTCTACTTATTTTGGGGAAACTACGAATGAGTTGGTCATGCATCTCAAATTCCAGGGTAGTGCTTCAGATAAGCAATATGGCTTTCGCTTCTCTAGGTCAACAGCTGATGTATTCGGTCAACTCGTGGTATTGTTTTCAGGCACTGTCCAAAGGTGCCGCAAGATGGGATCACCTCCTACAGGCCGATAACTTCAAAAAGTCACCTTCCTGACAAATCCACCCTGGTGAGATTCGAACCGGGTCTTATGGTCAGAAAGCGAACGTGCCCAAGTATTGTAATAATAATGTTAATATTATTCGTTTCCTTATAAGGAAACATTCAGCATTCATTGACCGAAAAACCAGTACTACTTTCAGTTGAAAATTATAAAATCTTTTCATTAAAACAGTTTTTCAAAGAAATAAGATTCTCAAGTCCATTAGCTGATATCGCTTTTTCCAGTATTGATAGGGCTTCCTTCCTAACTTTTTGTTTCCGTTTGTCGTACGACCACTGAAGTTAAGCAATGTCGAGTCTGGTCAGTACCTAGATGGGTGACCACTTGTGAATACCAGGTGCTGTAAGCTTTTTATTTAATTTTTTAATATGATGTTCACTCTCTACATGGCCCGGGAGCCACTCGCGGTAGAGTGTTTTATGCGAATATGTGAGAAAGATAGCGGTTAACCCTGGACTTGAACAGGTTAAGATTGTAGTGACCTGGGAAGCATCCGCTTGATTCCACAAAGCAGCGGTTCGTGGGAAGAAGCTGCTCGAGTGGAACTTACATCCCACGAATGGAATACGAAGCGAATAAGGGTGGTTCACTACAATGTTAGGTTTAAAAATTGCATTGCCGTGAAGGTTAGAAATGGTTGTAAAAAGGATTTATTTATTTAAGTCTGAGCACTTTTCATAGAAATAGCCATAGAACAGTCAATGGCTTGCAAAAGTGGTTGTACGGTGGAAAGTAATTTGACTCCCACAGGGACGCGGAGTCGCTTTTGGGCGGAAAAGTCAAAACTAACCCTAACCCTGCAGATCCCGTCCATATATGGCAAAATAATCCATTTTGGGCCTGATTTGCCTCCTGTAAAAGTAGAGGATAAACAAGAGAGGGGGAAGGTACTTATTGGAGCGTTACAAGGAACCGACCATTTATTCGGATATCTGGGGAATATAACGGTTAAACCTAACGGTTAAGATTGCAGCGAACGAGGAAGCATTCTCTTGGGAGTCGGTTCTACAAAGTAGCGGTTTATGCGAAGCTGTTGGATGAACTTACATCTTACCAATGGAATACAAAGGGAATGAGAAGAAGATTTTAGAGTAGAAAATGATTCATCACCCACAAGGACGCGGAGACGTTTTTGAACTATGAAGTATAGAAAGTGAAGACAGAGCAGTTCCTGCCCATATATGGCAACTGTACTTCATCTGGCTTTAGTAAAGGCAAAGGGCAAAAGTGAGGTTTTGCTATAGCGGGTAATGAAACCAATTTTTTTCCAGCCTCTTTAGTGGTGGGTCGTACGTACGAGATCCACTTGCGGTCCGAATGAGTTTAAGTGCCAATGAGCGCTCAAGGCACGGAGTCTCCCTGAGAGAACATCCATTCATCGTTATTGGCGGCAGTTCAGGGTCCGATCGGCGATAATGAAATGTAACTAATTTGGTTTTTGAAGCCCCCCCTCCCACTGAGCTGTCATAGCTAGGTTAGCGGAGAGATCAGCTGACAATCACTGGTCATCGAGGGTTTTGAAGGTGCACCCATATACCGATATTTCACCAGCATAGATATTCACAAATGATCGGAGTATACACTTAGGCAGATAATTTATGTAAAGTAAAAAGAGGGTTGGTCCCAGTAGCGGCTACTGGGATACGCCTGCGTTGATTGATAGGGCCCCTGGGGTACAGGCCCTTAACAGCTACCTTCTTTTTTTTCTTTTTTTTTTTAAGCATTTCACCCCAAGCAAGGCGGGAAGCCACTAGCACGCAAGGGGTTACATAGGATTTGGAGCGAGAGCAGATAGGAGTGATAGAGGAAAGGATGAAGAGAAGGATAGTGGATAGATCTTTCTCGCCGCATATGGTGACAATTCCCTGCTGTTGGCGACATCTTTGACGTTCTGACGACGGTTTCTGATGGCTTCCTTATTCAGTGCCCTTTTCGTTCACTCAGACACAATGCTTGGTCTTCCTGAACCTTGTTTCACTCGACAATGGCCTTCTTCACTAAATTTCTTGACATTATTATTAACCGCTTGATGATTAACCTGGATAACCAAGCAATTTCTCTATTTGACTTGCCACACTGATGTCATCCTATTATTTGCCCTCGTTGAAATTCACCAAGTTCCTTACTTCCACGAACTTTCTATTGCAAAATATAAGTCAACGTTCGTAGATTAGAGAAACTTGATATTAACACGGTATTGTCTGAAAAAAAAAGAAGAGACTTTATTACACAAGCCAAAATTGTTGTAATCAAGGGTAGATAAAAACTTATCATAGCCAACTGTACTTGAATAAATTATGATTTTATTATTTTCTATATTTAATATGGATTCCTTGACATTCTATTATCTTCATATGTCTTTAATCATTTAAACATTGCTTCTTTTTGAAGTAATTTTTGATTCTTAGAGATGATCTTGTATATTGTTTTCCATTATTATAGACACCCTGGTGCAAATTAAAACAAAACAAATAATTCCGTTATTATTTACTTTTTTTCGTATTTTTCCAATGAAACATGGCCCATTACACATCTTAGTACTTTGTATGTCCACTCCATGAAGATGTATCTTGCAGATTGACCACAGATTCTCGATTGGATTTGAATCAGGAGAGTTTCCAGACCAGAATGAGATAGATAGATTTATAGAGATAGATATGAACAGAATGAGATAGATAGATAGATAGATAGATAGATAGATAGATAGATAGATAGATAGATAGATAGATATGAACAGAATGAGATAGATAGATACATACACCCTTGTGCAAATTGAAACAAAATGAATAATTGGAGAGATTCCGGGCCAGTCTATAGTACTTTATGTAAACAGAATGAGATAGATAGATAGATAGATAGATAGATAGATAGATAGATAGATAGATAGATAATGAACAGAATGAGATAGATAGATAGATAGATAGATAGATAGATAGATAGATAGATAGATAGATGAATAGACACATCCTTGTGCAAATTAATAGCAACAAAACGAATAATTCCGTAATTATTTGCTTTTTTTGTATTTTTCCAATGAAACATGACCCAGTGCACATGTTAGTACTCCGTATGTCCATTCTACGAAGTCGTTCCTTGCACATTGATCCCAGATTCTTGATTGGATTTAAATCAGAAGAGTTTCCGGGCCAGTCTATAGTACTTTATGTAAACAGAAGGATGGCTAAAAACTTATCATAGCTCACTGTATAATCTAGTCGTTTTCATTTAATCGCTAAATCATCCACGTTAAATTTGCGTCCAGGTTCTTCCAACATCTCACCATACTTGGCAGATCTTCTATTATCACAATCTGGGGACATTTAATGACAAAATTGATGGAAACAAAAACAAAAAGAATCTAAATGAAATCGGCTAGATTATATACCCAAAATATATTAAAAAAAACAAAACAAACTATTTTTAAATATAAAATTTCGCGCGCTTCTCGTTCTTGCGCATGCGTAGTCGGATCAATGTAAACAAACCTAGTCCGATGAAGACGTAAGGGACGAAATGTTGCAAACGAAAACTTTTCCCACTTTGTCGGATATCTTTCCCCCCCAAATTGATGTTTTTTACTTTTTTATAATTTACATTGAGCACCGTCTTTATAGTGTATATGTTTTGAGTTTATTAAACAATATATATATATATATATATATATATATATATATATATATATATATATATATATATATAATAAATTTATTTAAACACTAATATTCCATTGTCATAATTTATTCCATTGGAATCGTAAATACGATCCAATTCATCAGACCTACAAATTAAAAAAGAAAACAGAAAAAACAACTCCGGGAATAAAAAATCAAATTTAGTGAGAGTGTATGCATGAGAGTGTGGGACGAATGTTAGAGTAAATGAAAGCTATAGGGAGGGGTAACAGACGAGAGAAGAACAGGAAGATCTAAAGATGAAGGGGGGATTAAAATTTAACAGAGAAGTTTTAAATAGGGGAGTCAAAGACGGTTTAAGTGAGAGAAATATGAATATTCTCGGATGTCTAATACATTAAAGATATATCGGAAAAAGATACATTTTGTGGCGACATACACACACAATAGACGATATAATCTTAAAGAGGGAGAAGAAAAGAAAAGAAAAAGGGGTGGGGAGAGAGATGGGGTGAGGGGAACTTATTATATCCTTACTCTGTCTTGGACATTGAGTTCTACTTGGATTCTATCCTCTTGGAATTATTTTTTATACAAATATATATTTATGCGTATGTATGTATATATATTTATATATTTTAGATATATGATTGCATATCTATGTGTATATTTACCACTAATATTCTCTCTCTCTCTCTCTATATATATATATATATATATATAAATTTAATACTTTCTAAAAAAGAAATATTACCAGCAATATATTTTTGAAAAACATATTACCATAAATTACCAGCGAAGGAAAATTCTTACCAGAAATAGATTTTTGAAGGCAAAAATATTATCAGAAATAGATTTTTGGAAAAAAATATTAGCAACAATGAAAATTAGGGTCGGCATTAAATAACCCATTGATATTGATATACCGTAAAACAAAACAAACGCACAAACAATATAAATTTAATTAGAAAAACAGACAAACCTTAAGGGCTCCATTGTTTATATTTTATTTCTCCATATATATATATATATATATATATATATATATATATATATATATATATATATATATATATATATATATATATATTATATATATTATTATTGAATATGAAAACGTTATGTATATGGGTAATCCCAAGGATTTACATGTTAAATTTAAAAACTTACACTACCCATCAATTTTAATTTCATTTTGGGAAGTGCTATCTGATGATCCGGCGTCCTTTAAAAAGGGACAAAAATAAATTATAATAATAATACCTTAAAGTGGTCTGTTTTTTCTTTTATATATATATATATATATATATATATATATATATATATATATATATATATAAAAGTACATGTAATTATGATCCATTGGTATATAATCCAATTTGGATCCTAGTAATATATATATTAAAAATCAACATATATATATATATATATATATATATATATATATATATATATATATATATATATATATATATATATGTATGTGTGTGTGTGTGTGTGTGTGTAATACAGTGTATCACAAAAGTGAGTACACCCCTCACATTTCTTCAAATATTTAAGTATATCTCTTCATGGGACAGCACTGACAAAATGACACTTTGATACAATGAAAAGTAGCCTGTCTGCAGAATATATAACAGAGTTAATTTATTTTTCCCTCAAAATAATTCAAAATATAGCCATTAAAAGCTAAATCCCTGGCAACAAAAGTGAGT